CTCACACCAATGTGAAACCCATTGTCGTAATCAAGTGGCTACATGTAGCCACTTGCGTGTAACCCCGTTACAGTACTAGTTCCTGGTAAAGCTTTCGTTTAATATCGCCGAGCCAAAATAAGCTTAAAGCTCTAAATGAATACGTATTTGCAAACGAGATTGTGATATAGAAATGTCGATGACGCCACGCTTATCTTGAGTATTGAGTGTAGGTTACTGTTCACCGCCAGCACCAGAAACATACTATTCACCGCTTTGCGAACGACTTGATTGCTGTTGCTCTTGAAATGTGGAGGCGAAATAGCGAAGGGGGTGTCATTTACTGGAAGGTAACCACACTACGGTCCAAATCTTTATTTCCAGTAGTCTTGTAGCTCAAAAATAGCGGTGTTGGGCGTCGCCTGATGACCAGTCACAGATTTAAACATACACTAACAATTGAAGGCATCCAGTACTACCTTAGCGCACGTAAGTTGCCACCCATTCTAATCAAACGCGTGCGTTCTAGCTGGTCTAGTGCGTTTGCAACGTCTTGCGAAAGCGATTGCGCTGCAGCAGCCGTGGGATTAGTGGCCCCGTCACCTGGCGCGGGCAGTTTGCCCAGTGGACCCCAAAGCAGTAATACAGAATGTCCATGGAGCTAACTGGTTAGCATATGTATAGCGAGGGTCTTAGAGTCCGTTTCCATCTTGGTTAGCTTTACATTTGGTAAAGACGGTACCGACGCTGTCGTCCTCATTGCTACGGTGAGCGGAATGTATAGTTTTTGGGGTGTAGCAGGATCAGCCAAAATCTGGTTGAGGCCGATCGCACACTTCGCCCAGACACTGACTAACGGGGGTTCCCCAACGACCCGTGATCAGCTGAACTTGGTCTCACCTCGTGTACCTGTCGGCGGGCGGGATGTTCTCTCTTGAGGCTCCAAAGGTGTTCGATACGTGTAGACTTGACCGTCCTGGCGGGATGCGGGATGTGTGGGGCAGCGTGGAAACGCTTCACCTGCGCCCGAGTATACGATCTCGATCGAGTCCCCGATCGACTCTGATCGAGTGTCTTGCCGCTTCAAATAGTGGGATCTTCGAGGGTGAGAGTCGATCCGATCACCAGCCAAGCACCAAAGCCTGGTCGGTCGAGTACACTTGAACGCAATACAATAAACAAGCGAAAACTAGTGTAGGCAGGTCTGGTCAATATATTATCCAGACCTTACGCTACGACGCTAGTCTCTACTGCTTACGTCTTGATCGGGCTTGAGGGGGCAAAGTATCCTTCCCTTGCTGGCGAACGACGAAGACTTGTGCACTTCTAAGCAAAACGGACTCTGATTGATGTTTACAATGTGTCTATCTACTTCCCATTCCAATTGACCGCCAATCTGCGTCTTGATCAGCGATCTCTATGTCGATTGTCGATCGCCATCTAGACGTAGATCGCGATTGGGCTCTCTTGATCGCCCATAGTTACACCTTGATCTCATTATCGGAGAGAGGTGGTCGTTGGCCGCCCGTCTGGGATTAGCGCTTCATGAACGCGGATCGTAGCTTGCGTCGTGTCCCTCCTTGTTCCACTGTCGACCATCTTCGGACCTCTTATCTACCCTTGATCGCTGATCGGTGACCCATCGTCGTCGATTGGTCCATCGACCGCACTTAGACATCGACTTGTTCTGGTCCACCTTAATCCAAAATGTTCACTAAGCGCTTCTACACATTTTCACGGAATCGAATGCCGCTGTAGCATGAAGATAGTATGAGCAGAATCCTCTGTCGGTGTGTGCAAGCGTTTTCTTACATACGTGCTCATACACAGGGTACAGCAACACCATTTTACCTATTTCATTGCTTTGCCCTGTCCGATCATGTGCTGCTTCAATCCTCTTACGTCCAGCGCGGAAAGTCTTCACATCGTCGGCATATGATGCGGGAAGAGGTTGCCGCTGTTGCCAATATATGTCCTTGAAAGCGCTTCTATAACCTCCAAGTGTGGCGACACTAGGTAGCGTTCATTTTGGCTAGTATAAAGTATTCAAATAATTTGGAGCAAATACGTTTGTGCTGGACCCACCACCGAGGTTGAACAATCGGCCAGGGTTGCTCTGCGCTGTTCCAATCCAGGCAGCAACACCTCAACGATAGCTTGGCCATACTGCTTGCGGTTATGAGGAGGTGCATACATGCCAAAAGTTGCCGGCATTAAGTTGATGGTTATGCGTGCCAGGGGGCTAATTGTCTCCAGATTGCGCGCTGGCTACACCGCCACCACCGGGGCGATATCGCTCAGTACAGCATCAAGACTACGCGAATCTAGTTGCTGTATATTAGGCGCTTGTTGCTGGGTGGCGCATCCGTGAGTGTTAGGGCGAGGCAGGTTTGAAGGGGGGGGGGGGGGCAAGTTTGGTTACTGGAGAGCAGTGCTGGAATGACTGACCACCTGGCCTTAAAATTCAGACGTTTATCCTTGTCATCCATAAAGCTGTGTCCAACAATCTGTTGCACAAAGGGTCCGACAAAACGGACGATACTTGATAATACCAAGATTTATAAATGGCTATTTGTGGCTTTCACGACTCGGGTCTCGCACCGATGTATGGGATTTTATATTAGAGGCATACTGAAACCAAAATGCGGGTCCCCGGAAAAAAATAGTCTAGAGAGAGATGCCAATTTTTTTTCGAAAATTATTCCTCAAAAGAAAATTATTCCATTATTCCAACTGACGGTCATCATGCTGTGGGTAGACAAGTACCGCCCGACGTCGCTCTCGTCGCTAGACTTCCACCCGGAGGTAACCAAGCGCTTGTCCAACCTCTCGCAGTCGTCGGACTTGCCGCACTTGCTCGTGTATGGACCGTCGGGAGCGGGCAAGAAGACGCGCATCATGGCGCTACTACGTGCGCTGTACGGTGACGGCGCCCTGAAGGTTCGACTGGAGCACAAGTCGTTCAAAGCTCCAAACCGGAGCACTAAAGTGGAGATTACGACGGTGGCCAGTAATTTTCACATCGAGATGAACCCATCGGACGTGGGCAACAACGACCGCCTTGTGGTGCAGGAAGTGCTCAAGGAGATCGCCCAGTATCATTTGGCGGATACAAACTCCCAGAGACCGTTCAAGGTTGTGCTGCTAATGGAAGTGGACAGACTGAGCAAGAATGCGCAGCACGCATTGCGTCGCACCATGGAGAAGTACACGGCCACGTGCCGCCTCATTCTGTGCTGCAATAACCCCAGCAAAGTGATCGACCCGCTACGCAGTCGATGCCTCGGAGTGAGAGTGGGCGCCCCCACGATGGACGATATCTGCACCATCCTTCAGGGTGTTTGCAAGAAGGAGGGACTAGACTACTGCGCCCCGTTGGGCAAGGAAATCGCCCTCAAGAGCGAGCGGAATCTCAGACGCGCGTTGCTCATGCTCGAGACGTGTCGCGTTCAGAGGTACGACACGTTATTGGGGATTAATGGGAGGAAGAACCTGTTACTGACAGTGTTGTTGTTGATGCTGCTGTAGTTACCCGTTTTCTCCTGACCAACAGATCCAGCTACCAGCGTGGGAGGAATACATCTGCAGTCTGGCCAAGGTGGTGCTGCAAGAGCAGTCGCCTGCTGGGTACGTCGCGATGCTGTCTTCGAGCTGTTTGGACTGTTGTGCTGACGTTTGTTTGTTGCTGTTGCAGCCTGCTCAAGGCACGTGAGATGATCTACGAACTCATCTCCAACTGTGTGCCGTCCGAGGTGATCCTCAAGGTTCTGTGTCGCGAACTCATGAGCCGCCTGGACGACGACCTCAAGCACGAGCTGGTGCAGTGGGCGTCGTACTATGAGCACCGGATGCAGCGCGGATCCAAGGACATTTTCCACTTTGAGGCCTTCCTAGCCAAGTTCATGACGCTCTATAAGAAGTTCCTACTGGAGCTGTACATGTAGCGAGCGACCTATTAGCAAAATAAAAGCTCTTCCAGTCGTCCCCCGTTATGTACCCCCATTATGCAGTTTGCCAGTTCTTCGATCATGTGGCGGGTGGCAGTGTTGACCCGCTTTGAGACGCTGCAGAACTTCCTATCGGCTGACGAGCGCGACTGGGTCAAGTCAGCGCTATTCGACGGGCGTCAAGCACCTCAAGTCAATGCTGAGACCTGTGAGCGTAAGGCAGAGGAAGACGCAACAGCAGCCACCACCAGCGAGGCCGAGTCGGCGCATCTTGAGCGGTAAATGGAGACCATCCGTCATTGCTTCTGCTACTCTTTATCATTCTAATTGCTGTATCAATTCCTGCTTAGATGGAAGAAGTGGAAACTCGAGGGCGACAAGATCGACCAACTCACGTCAACGACCGGCACCGAAGCGGATGCAGCGCTGAAAGAACTGGAGACGAGTGTGGCCAGCTTGCGCTTCTTCGCTCGAGGCAAGCGGGGCGTCTTGTACGCGGGTGAAATGCGCACAACAATGGAGCCAGTGGTGGCCAAACTGGCAGCCGACGCGACGTCTGCTGGGTCGGTGACGCTGGAAGCGCGTTGGCTTCGAGTGGTGAATCGCATGGGAATTGGCGCGAAGCTCATGGACGCAGGGAAGGGCTGGTTCCTGTGTGAACGACTCGAGGGCAAGAATGTGGTCGAGTTTCTAGTAGAAGGAGATGAGGTCACGACGCCAGCCAACGCCTTGTGGGTCGTCCGGGAGATGCTGTGCCAGGTATGCGTTTATTGTGATAGATTGGATGATATTGTGGTCACTATTGTCGATTCTTTCAGTGCTTTGCTATGGACCTCATGGGGGTCAACAAGGAAGAAATGACTCATCCGCATCGCCACATTATCGTGCACCGCTCCACGCAGCAGCCAGAGCGATGGCGGTGCACGTTTGTTGACTTTGAAAAGTGCTCGTCCACCAAGAAACCCAAGAACGTCACGCAACTCTGTCAGGTACGATGGTCCTCCGTCAAAGCAGCTCTCAATTACTTCTAGCTAACATCTAGCTACATTGGTGTGCTGGCAGTTCCTCAGCTCGCCACGGATGGTTGCGCTACTGGCAAGTAAACGCGTCAAGCTGGACGTGCCGAAGCTGCGGCAATGCACCAAGTGCTACAAGCAGAACATCTCCACAAAGACGTTTGGAGATATCATGCAAGTCTTCGGGCTGTAGCTAGCAGCATTCGACAACGTGCTAACTAACTATACAACGCAATTTTTGCATCACTCCCTTGACTCAGCTATCTGACTCGAGAACATGTAATGCCATGATGTATTGATGGGATTGATGGATGGCTGTGCCCTGAAAGAGCTGATACGACCCGCTTCTCTGACTGAAAGCTAGAGAATCGTGCTCCTTGCCGGAGTCTTAATAAAGCTCACTTTTGAACTTACCTTCAACAACACAAACACATCGCAAACACGCTGGGATTGTTTTCCCGCTCTATGACCTCACGCAACATTCGCTACTGGCGTAGCTTCCTGCATAATCTTCTGTGTCCTCCTGACGTCCCCAGCTCTGAGACCTCATACGACGGCGTGTGCGTCTTCACACTCTCGGGTCGTGTCGAGTATCTGGACGGCTGCTTTCAAGCCTCCTCTCCCTCTGACGCTTCCCTAGAAGTGGATCCACTACCGATTCTGACCATTTTCCACCAACTCACGTGCCAGGCTATTCAGGAAGAGAGAGACGCCCACCAGGAGCCAGGAACAGCCAAGCACGCGATCCCCAACGTAACACCCGCATTGAGACTGGGTAACTGCGTGCTTCACGTCGTGTCTGCTACCTTTACGAGCATCTGCGCTGTGTCAAGCGGCAAATCCCGGGGCCTAGTGGTGGAGAAGCTCCCGTTCGGCGTGCTGGTCGTGGCCTTTTCGTCGCCGCTGAGGCTCGAGACGGTGTTCAGTCGCATCGATCGCGCATGTGCACCACTGCGACGCTGATCCATTTCTAGCCAATCATCCGGAAGAACTCACTGAGCAAGAGAGTACCCGACGTGCCATGTACTTCTGCGCCGCCTGCAACGTATACGTCAAGGACTCGAGCGTTGCTGAGCATGACCAGACTACAGCCCATCTACTGTCCAGCTCTAAGGGCGTCTCAGTGCGAAAAGGTGAGGGGACTGTAGAGCTATGAGGAGAGATATTAAGACTCTTTGCCTCATGTGAATCTTTGCTTTGCTTCTGCAGTTTGGCTTCCCGAGACGAATCGCGGCTATCAGTTGCTCAAGTCCATGGGCTGGCAGGACAACGGCGGACTGGGACCAACAGGGGACGGCAAAGTGATGCCCATAGCGACAACCTTCAAGACGGACAGAGCGGGTGTTGGTGTGCAGCCCACAGCTAAACAGGCGAGAATTACTCACTTCCCGGCACATGACGAGCAGCAGGCCAGAATGGCGGTAGATGGACGCAGTGAAGCGCAACGCATGCAGGACAGACTAACTCGCAAACGGAAGCAGACTCAACAGCACCCAGTTGGCCTCTCAAAGGCGCAGAGGAAGCTACAGAAGCAGAGGGAGCAACGAAGAGACCGAGCTATCGGCAACGAGTTGTACTCGGACGGCTTGGATGGATACGAGGAGTTTCTGCGATAAGCTGGAGTTGATCAGGATGCAGCAGTTGTTGCTCTGCTACAACGTATGTACACTTCATTCACTAGCGGAATGAGGTTTTGCTGTTGTTTCCTCATCCATTCAACGCCCCCATCACAGTTTCGATGCCAGTGACGGTGGCGCTGTCAAAATTGTCGTGTCCGAAGGCAGCGTCTTGGGCTCCAACATGATCTGCTTCAGCAGGTTAACCACATCCGTACGGCAGTCTACGTTGTCCCCCATAACCGCAAACACCATATCCTCGTGTGTACAATTGCTCACTTCGTAGTACGTCGCAACTTGACCAGCTTTTTTCTGGAAATGGCATATTCAAAATAGTTAGCTACACCAAGTGTATTGGTGTTGCGATGGAGTTGATCGTACCAGATTGAATACAAGTTTCTTCGACGAACTCGTTGGAACAACCTGCATGGACACACGAATTAGACATCTCGAAAATCTATTCCGATATTGTCGAAGCACTACCGTGTCATCCTCTCCATGCAGAATGTAAAATGACGGAAGTGAGAAGCCTGTAGCAAGCAATACAGTTCATCACTTAGGAGCTTTCCTTCTCCACAGTCGCTGTGCTAGTAAAATTCGCTTCGTACCGATGTTTCTCGCGTCTGCAAAGAGCGCTGTCGGGCTAAGCTTCTTGAAGTTGCCCATGCCCAGCATAGCAGGCTTCATTGACGAAATTTCGTGCACTCCTGCCACAATTGCAACGCCTTCGGTTAGTTCAATTGACAGCTAAGCAAGTGCTACATCGTTTACACGACGGCATACCATTCAGCGGACCAACGGCCCGCTCGCTCTCAAAGATATAATGATCCGAGATGTCGTACGGCGCTGAAAGTCCGATGAATCCATGCACATTAATCGCGATCTCCTTTTCCTTCATAGCCTGCCAAAATCACAGGCTATCAGTTGCTGCGTTTCATCACAACATTTCACCACATCCGGTTTACCTTCGGGTCATTGCCAGCAAGACGAATTGCCGAGTTGACGAGAGCCAACGCCCCCACGTGTCCTCCAGAAGAATGACCGCTCAAAAAGAGCTTGTTCCTATCTCCACCAAGCAAAGAACAATTCTCAGCGACCCAGAAGACCTGTACAAATAAAAGTATTCATCTGAGCTACGTTACAGACGAATAGACAGTTTGTATCCATTACGTACAGCATTCTCGACGTCCTTGATCATGTCCAGCACTGAGCCGTTTGGGAACGTCCTGTAGTTGATGACTGCCACCAAGAAGCCCTGTGTGGCCAGGTACTCCCCCACCAGAGCGTACTGCCACTTGTGGCCAAAAGACCACGCTCCCCCGTGCATGAAGACCAGCACAGGCGTAGCTACTGTTGTCTCCCCATGCGCTTGAACCCCGTAGACATCGAGCGTATTACGTTCGTGAGGTCCATAGCGGCAGTTGACGCGGCAATCTCGAGGCATCCACACGAGTAATCGACCGATTCGCGCAGCCATCTGAGGCTTGATCAGACATAAAAGGTATTCAGAGCTTGCGATGAGCTGCCCGGTGGTGGTGTACTTAAGCGCAGCTTGAACGTGCTGCAGCCAAGGAAGACGAGGCTCATTCTGCAGTAGCAAGGCGTGCTGCTGGCGGAGACTGCGTCCAGTAGTGCGGGCGTACGCGAGAAGCGCTAGAGTGAGCGCCACACGCCGCGGGTTGAGGCGCGGCAGCATGTCCAACATGCTGCTCTGGTTTACGACAACCAAAAATCTGATTGACATGAAGAGTGATGGTCACAGGTTTCAACTACGGCTGATTTTTGTCTTCACGATGCAATTAATGAACGGCGGTGCGCTCGTACTTCCGACAACCCTGGCTGTCTGTCACTTATTTCCCACCTTCTTCTACTCGCTATAACCGTTAGTACGGCACATACTCAAGCTCACGACAGTTGTTAAACTGGGTAGCAGTATTTGAAACAAACTTCGCCAGCGGATCGATCCCTGAGAAGTTTTTCCACTGCTCGAACGTCCGCTTCGTGCCGAGCGTGAACTTTTCCAGATCTGTGCGATCGAAATCCTCTTTCGTGACCGGGAGTCCGAGATTGTAGCGAATGCGGCGCTTGGACGGCTGTTGTATTACATAGCGCTCGCTCCAGTCGCGCTCCCACACGACTTTCCGCTTTTCGTACCAGTGATACGCAATGTCTTCTGAAGGCACGTAGAAGTCGTAGCCAGCAGTCCAGAGCCGTGTAGCGCGCGAATACTCTTCGCCATGGAACAGATACGGTGTATACGGGTCGTTGCGCACCTCCTTCGCCTGTTTGCATCCGCCAAAATTAAATCCTCCAGCGAGCTGTGACATCAGTCGCGGCTTTGGTGTGTCCTTTTTGTTAATCCACATGGGGGCCGCGTACTGCACCATGGAGTCCGGATCTTGCGTCTCGATGCGGGACATACACATGAGTTGCACCTTGTCGTCCACATCGTGCTTGGTCAGATGCTCGGTAGACTTTGGATACACAGATATAATGGCGTTGGGGTTCTCCAACGAGTCCCACTGCGCTATGATCTTTTCGTCCCAGTTGGGAATGAAAACCAAGTGGGAGTCGATCGTCATGCAGAAATCTTCGTCCGTGATGGCTTTCTCCGTCTCATATCGCGCAGCAGTGGGGCCCTACGTTGCAGAATTCAGTCAACAACAGCATCAAGGTAGCAAACTTGCAGTATTCATCCAAATCTCCCTACCGTTGCGTTAACAGCGTCGATTTGGGACGACACGATCTGCGAACGCCGGCAGTATTCCTCACCCACAAGCTCGCAGAAGACGTCCACGCATTGGAGCTCTTTCTCCGCCGGATAAATCTGATCGTAGATGCTTATTTTGAGGTTGTCAGGCGCTACCGCGTTGTCGAAAATCGAGCGCAGTGTCTCCGAGCACCTACATTGTCGATATATAGAGCAGCATAAAATACAGTAGATTAGTTATAGTCAGTGATGGTTTTATCCCAGTTGTAGAGAAGGCGAGAAGACGGTCACGGACCTCTTTGAGTCGCGGTAATTGGCGACCAAGATGATGGTGCTACGCCCGTTGACGATGGACGGTGGGTCCGTGGGCTCCGGGACGGACGTGGAGGCCGTCACCGCCTCCTTGTCAGCACGTAGATGGAGACTACGATCCTCGACTGGGGCATCCACAGCGGCGCCACTGGCCGCGTATTCCTGCAGGTAGAGGAACTCGTAGAGCACCACGACGAGACAGATTACAGGGAAAACCATGAGCACCGCCACGCGTAGATCCCACCCAGCGCCTCGGCGCACATCTCCGCGGGAGCTCACACGCCCGTACGGCTGATAGCCTGCCTTCATTCGGCCCGTCGTAGTCGTTCTTGAGTAGTGCGCTGCTCCTGCTTTCGTCGTCTCGTCGGTCGACTTTGCCACGTCACTTTCTCTGGCGTTTCTATCTGCCGCGATAATATGATAATAAATATATTAAATTGATTTATTTGATTGTGCCTTTCACTTGTTTGGGTTAAAGTAGATCCATAAAAAGGCCATATTTAAATCATATCGAGGATGTCCCCATGGAGGAGGACGAGGCCTCCTCGTCCTCGGCTGCCGAGTCTAAGGCGGCCGAAACAACGCCCGATCCACTCACTGGATCGCGGCGAACGCGTGATGATGATCCGGGCGCTTCAAGTTCGAAGCGTCCGCGTACTGGAGAAGAGGCACAGCAGCCACCAGTGCTGGTGACGCCCTTTTCTCGTCTCGCACTGCAAGTGATGTTGC